AATACTAGGTCATTGTGGAAAAGTTCTAGCTACAAATCTATTAAATCTGTAGAAATGCACATATATATATAAACAGTGGTACCTCGGTATACATCCAACTTGATATACATCCTGTTTGGATGCAAAAGTTTTGTCAGGTATATGATCTCTGTTATGATTACAACTCTTGTTCGAAGAGCCATGACTGAACGCATTACATTGTTTTATCTTTTTTTGAAATGATGCTGCAACTTACAACTGCCCCTGAACATCAGTATGCCTGTTGATTATTCAATAAATAACAAGCACTTCAACTTGTTATTTATTGAATAATCAACAGGCATATTAATCAACATATAAAATCAACACTTATACAACACACATATATAAACTTACACAACACACATATATAATCAACAAACAACAGGCATATATAATCAACACTTTTAGAGTGATTTTGCATCTTCTAATGCAAATTTTCTGTAAATTCATATCTTCTAATGCAAATTTTCTGTAAATTCATAAATGATAAGTTTTATAAAAGTTAATGAGAAGAGTCAAGCAACAAAGAAAAATGTCAGGTTTTCTTTTGATCTGGATAGCACAAAAAAAAAAAAAAAATATGTACAGTATTGTGTAGTGTAGTGCTTTAGTATACATGATAATGTACAGTATTATGTGTAGTGCTTTATTTACATACTGTATATATTTCCGCACTGCATTTGTATTTTAGCATTAAACAGTATAATAATAACAATAACAGAATTTTTTTATAACAGCAGATTAATTATTTTCTCTTTATTTCTTACTGGGAAAGTTCATTTGGTATATGTCCAGGGATCTGGAAAGAAGTTATAATGAGGTACCACTGTCTGTGTATATATATATGCACCTTTATATCCTCCATGTTTTATAGAGGCCCACCAGCGGCCGAGCGGTAAAGTAGCTGAACACTGGTAGTTCGGTCCGAGGTTCGAATCCCACGAACGGGCTGGCTGCATGAGCGTTTTCTCCATGTGTAACGTGTATACCAGCCAGTTTCCCTTAGAAAGTCCTCCACGAAGGCATCCCTCCCTTAAAGCACATAGCCCTCGAGTGCTTTGCCGTAATATAATAAAAACAAACCAAAACCAAACCATGTTATATAATTCCTTTTATAGTTGTTTAGTTTAAATAGAAAAATTTATCAAAGAACTAATTTTATTCCACAAACCAATTGCATAAATTTTACAATAGCTATATTTTAAAATGTGACAAAAAACAAAAATGTAAAATTAGACAAAAAAAAACAGCATTAGTTTGGAGCAGATTTTGAAATACTCTATCAGTTTCGAAGACAATCAAGCACAGGTCTCTCCTCGGTAAAAGTATATTTACGGGTACCCCTTGGCAAAAATTGGAGCTTTTTGGCAGTACACAGACATCCAGTTTGTGAAATTCTTTGACTTCTTATTTTGGCTTGTGTAGCAGTGATTTTAGCACCAAAAATCGAAACTACACAAAGCCAAAATAACAAGACAAAGAATTGCACAAACTTGGTATCCATGTACACATCGACCTATTTTCACTTTAAAAAAAAATCAGAGAATTGCACAAACTAGGCATTGCGCACTCCCTTTACTTTGTACATGTACACATCGAACTATATTCACTTAAAAAGTCAAAGGAGCAGCCAACAAAATAATACATAATCTCAATAAACCACATTTTAAATCGAACAATGAAATAACATAAAAAAGAAAATTTATCTTTGCAGTACACAAAGGAAATATCCGCTTACCTTATTTACGAATTAACACATCTTCAGTCAAACAAAATTCCTTAACATCATCCAAAAATGTCCCAAAATTATCCGAACTAGAATCTGTATACTGGTGTCGCCACATAAATTCACAAAAATAACGGTCAAAAATATCCTCCGTAGTACCGATATGGTTCGACCATACGCATTTCCTTCCTACAAACAGGACACTTAATAACTGCTACTAAGTAAACCGGCTAATCTTTAGAATATGGTAACAGGTAGTTTGGCGACATTTTGGTAAGGCGATAAAGGTTACTAGCTAGGACTTTAGCAATAATCTGAGAAGTACACAGTTCGAATCACAGATTATTTTGTCTCAGAGAAATGAGAGATCATGAGACATGTAATGTGATATTTTTCAGAAAATTCCTATCGTGATTTTAGCTAATAAGCACTTAGAAACAATTTCACTGCTAAAGTGCAGAATCGCCCACTTATTTGTTTGGCGCTTTTTATAAGAGTAAGAAGAATTGGATTTTTGTCAATTTCTTTGACTTTTTAAGTGAAAATAGGTCGATGTGTACATGGATAAAGTCAAGAGTGTGAGCAATGCCATTTTTGTGCAATTATGGGATGTTAAGTGAAAATAGGTCAACGTGTACATAGATAACGTGTATGTGCAATTCTTAAAAATGCGGCAAGCAGTTTGCTATTCTGCACTTTCTCCCAATTTCGCACCTAATCTTCGTCATGATTAAGCATTTTTGTTCCAAAAAAGTTCTAGTATAAGCGTAATTCGGCTAGCAGATTGTTGGGAAAAATGTTGAGTAAAAAAAAAAAAAAAAAAAACCATCCCTTTATTTCGTGAAAACAAAATAGCGTCAAAAAAAAAAAAAAAAACTAGCAGGTTCCTGTAGAAGGGTTGGTCGCCAAAAAATTGTCAAGTTACTATAATGTAAAGATTCACCAGTAAACCTTCATTTACACACCAGTCAATTAATGCTTTTATTGGTGAATCTTCTGATTATGGTAACTTGGCAATTTTTTGCCAAAACCTTGGCGACCAACCCTGCTAGTTTTTTTTTTTTTTTTTTTTTTTTGATGCCATTTTGTTTTCACAAAGAAAAGGCATGCTTTTTTTTTTTTTTAACTTAACATTTTTTCCAATAATCTGCTAGCCGAATTACGCTTATGCTAGAACTTTTATGGAACAAAAGTGCTTAATCATGACGACGAGATTAGGTGCGAAATTGGGAGAAAGTGTAGAATTGCCTACTGCTTACCGCATTTTTAAGAATTGCATATACATGGTATCCATGTACATGTTGACCTATTTTCACTTTAAAAAAATCCCAGAATTGCACAAAAATGACATTCCACACACTCTTGACTTTATCTATGTACACATTGACCTATTTTCACTTGAAAAGTCAAAAGAAAATTGACAAAAATCCAATTCTTCTTACTCTTCTAAAAAGCGCTAAACGAATAAGTGGGCGATTCTGCACTTTAGCAGCCAAATTGTTTCTAAGTGCTTATTAGCTAAAATCCCGATTGGAATTTTCCGGAAAATGTCACATTACATGTCTCGTGATCTCTCATTTCTCTGAGACAAAATAATCTGTGATTCGAACTGTGTACTTCTCAGATTATTGTTAAAGTCCTAGCTACTAACCTTTATCGCCTTACCAAAATGACGTCAATCTACATGTTACCATATTCCAAAGATTAGCCCTTTTATCCTTTTCGTTCTAAATCGTACAGAACCTCACATTAATTTTACCATATTCAGCCATTTTACCATGTAAACCTTAAAATAACAACATACTTATCGAAAATCCCATGCGCACTTTCCATATCTTTTCCCATGATTCAAACTGACCACAATCATGCAACCAATTACGTCATAATAGGGTTTCATAGCATTCAACTATTCAGGTTACCATAAATAAACCACCACTTGGCGATAAATGAAACAACTTAACGATAATGCAAGGGGTACCTTTCTCTCTACTCTAACCCTCCCTTCTTCAGGAGCAAAAAAGGCATAACTGATATTCACTAATTGAAAAAACTGAAAAATGACTTTATAACAAAGCTTAGCTATTAGAAATTTTACAGTTAAACAGAGATTACTACAATGAGAAATTCAACTTTATGCTTCAACAAAAATCAGATGTATTCATAAAAATTTATAGCATTTGCTATGAAGAATTAATTTTAATAGTAAAGCAAAAGGAAATATATTCAAACTTTTGTAGAAATTCCATAATAGCAAAAATCAACCCCACTGTTCAAAATATAACGATATGTAATTTCTAAACAAATCAGTACAATAATATTCTCTAAATTTATTACATAATTACACCTCTTAAACTAAAATTCAATTTATTCTTCAATAAAAGTAAACCAAAACCTTGTAACCAATAATAACTTGTTAGCACTGAGTGTGAATTTAAGAGCTTGTAAGATATTTTATATTCTGGATATTAATTCACATTCAGCTGTCTTCTGATTTGAGAACATTTTAGAATTAATAATCAAAATACTAAGAGAAGTTTAACAACATACCCCCATCAGAAAAGCTTTTAATATACACTGATCTTTTGCTTCCTAGTGGTGTAATAATACCTCTGTAAAATAAAGCATAGTAGGAAATTTTGACACAATGGAAAACAATTCCTAAAACCCAATTGTTAGTATATCTGGTTTTTTAAACTCATATTATATAACTCTTTACAAAACTGGGCCTTCCTAAAAATGATTCCAACATTAACTGATTACAGGTCTATTTTTTTCTTCACTATGTTATGAATGCCTTATTATAATTCTTAAAGTTGAAACATAAGATCACAAATTTCAGACTTTCATTTTAATCATGATAATTTTCATTACTATACATACAGTTACCATTTTATTCAAGCACTTCATTCCAAAGTACTTATCATTATTTCCGTACTTAAAAATCTAGAGCTGCACGGGGTCCCTTTCATTACATTCACGAATAACAATTCTATCCATAATAAAATTTTTCAAGGAGTTTAAAAACACTGCCATGTTACACTTTTATCAGAGACATTAGGGAAGAAAAAAAAAAGGGGGGGGCCTATCCTTTTGAAATAAAATACAGGTAGTAAAGCAATGAAATTCAAGAATACTGCTATATGCAATGGGGAATTTAAGAAACATATGCCCTTTCACTTTGATTTTATGCCCAAGTATGCCGTTCCGATATTAAGAATAGTTTAGAGATACGTTTCTATGATAATTTACTTACAAATATGACTTAGATCTCATGCTTAGAAATGTCCTATGGCTATTTTATAATTCGAAAATCTAAAAAAGAGCACATCTACGAAACATATGAAATCTGACAATTGCTTTGCAACATTTTGCTAGTATAAAATAAAACAATTGGTCCTCTTCACGCTTTTTCAGATTACGAAAAAATAAGCTTCTGAACACACACACACACATCTATCTAAACACACACATATTACTACTTGGTTTACAGCTCACAGATGTGATTTCAGATGAAAGTCGTTGTTCGCAGAAGATCTTTACGAGGGAAAAGAGGGACAGACAGACAAAGTAGACAGATGTCTTGTTTTGCACCCGCTAAGTCTTTCTGCACCGATGGGCGAAAAATCAAGCAAAGGTGCGAAGGAAAGGTATATAGAAAGAGGGGCAATTTCGTATTTGAGGAGAGTAAAAAGTAACTTCGTACATCTTGTACGAGTTCAAAAGGCCAGGAAGAAAAGATGGGACAAAATAAAATTTAACATAAATGGCCCAAAAATAATAGAGGAAAAAAAAAAGGACCTATACAAAGAAAAGGAAAAGAAGTAGAAAATATCCTAAAATACGATTGTGTCCATGAGTGTAGTTAAAAGGAGAAGAAACTGTCTTCATTTACAATAAATAGTGTCTCACAGGTGTGTTTGTGTAGTGAGTGTGTTTGGTAATGGTGAATAGATGTGTTACTGGGGAAAAAACAAATATTGACGGACTTCGTATCAAGGTATTTAGCATGGAATATAAAGTAATATGTACGCTTGCATCCTGAGATATCAACAAAGGTCATCAAACAAAAGTATATATTAATTTAACCAAAGTAACTTATGCTACTTTCATTCTCAACATTTTCATACATTTTTCAAAAAGCAGCAGCAGACTAACAACATAGAACCATATACAATACAAGACCACAACCGCATACACCCAAAAAAATAAATAAATAAATAAAATATATATATATATATATATATATATAGTTTTAATTCGTTGTATTTGATTAATTATAGTTAAAAATAATTCTACTTTAATTAAACTTAGGAGATAATATAATCAATTAATCAATACGGTTTAGGAAATAAATTATATATATATATATATATATTTGTGTGTGTGTGTGTAAATTACTGAGTATATGTATTAAAAACACAAATTAAACAGTATTTATTAATTTAACTATCATAATTTATTACAAGATAATTATTTTACTATCATAATTTATTACTAGTTAAATAATGTTAATATAACACAATGAGGCACACTGTTATTTATATAAGCTCATAGTTCTAAAATTCATTTAAGGCGGTGAAGAATAAACCATCCCTTACATATGGACATTTAACAGATAGCAAAGAACAGTATGAGAAAAAATCGGTGAGGTATAATATTATTTAAAGGCGAAACTATATTCAAGCGCGATCTAGAAAGAAAAGAGAATCCAGAAAATCCGAGAGGGAAATAGCGCGATGCCCAAATTATCCCTCTCATCCCCAAATTTTCCCTCTCTCGAGATTCCTTAAGGGCTTTGTTTGTAAGTGTTGACAGACGTGAACTGATAACGCTGGCGTCTGTTTCGAGTTGATACACAAAGGAAGCCACAAGCAATGGCAATTTCAAGTATTTTTTAATGCTTTAAACTGATGAAAAATTAAGATTTATTGATTTAAAGGCACTTATTTATAGAAATTTGATTTAGTTTAGATGAAAGAAAAGTACTTATCTTAAAATTCCAGGCTTTTGGAGTATATCCTTACATTGTCCGCTGTTTTATTCTCGTCAACATCGGAGCCGAAATTTATTGGAATGATATAGGTTTTGTAGGGAAAAAATAAACATTTTTCAAAGAAATTTAATTAATAATCACCAAGAGGAAAGGAAAATTTTTCACTTTTTTACGGAGCTCAGCGATCGTGCTGCCGCTTGCCTCGGTGATCACCGTATACCCGGAATCGGAAAAGAGGGAAGAAATAGGAGGAGTTCCAAGATTTTGTGGGTTGTAATATTTACCCACTTTCTCGCCAAGTTATTTGGCGTCAACTTTCAGTTCATACCTCTCCGGTAGCAATGCGGGCTAGTAAATATCAAATCTCCTCGGTAAAAATCATGTCGGTTCTGTCGTTTTGAGTAAGAACTCTGTAAATTTTCCATAGATTTATTAATGTACTGTTTTGCATATTTATACATTGCGCTTCATTCACGTGAATGCATTTAAAATGTGTGTAATAACTATGATGTCAAATTTCCGGCTGAGCGCATGATTCTAGTGAATAAATAATTTTTATTTGGTTGGGACAATGCTTGCTCATCATTGCGCATTTTATTGAATAAATATGAAGAAATAATTCTTAGAAGTGTATATTTTATAAGGTTTTTTTCTGCTGTGCTGGTAAATTTCGGAACGTACTTAATGTGCCATTTTTTTATTTCGTTAGTGTGTGTATCATAGATTAACAGCGTCATGTGCAATTTGTGTACAAAATGTGAAAATCAAATCTTGTGTATACAGAGTTGCCAACTCTCCCAATTTAGCCCGGAGATTCCGGATTTCTGACCGTACTCCTACCAATCCGATTCATAACATATTTCTCTCGACTTTCTCTTATTCTTAAAATTTATCACGATTTTTATGTAGCTTGGTTTAATTCTTCATTATTTGAACAGAAAAAAGAGATTTTGGACATCTGAAAGCACTTTATTTTTCCCTAGATTACATATAAAAGAAAACCAAAGTTGTTTCTTCAGTGAAAATGAAAGAAGCACCTGGAATCGATAAAATTTCTAACAGAGCGATCAAAGTACTCCCAAATAATATTATCTGCAAGCTCAACGGACTCCTTAATGCCTGCTTAACTAACGCATACTTCCCTACTCAAGGGAAAATGGCCCAAATCATACTTATTCCGAAACCCGGAAAAGATCATTCAACTCCTGGCTTTCGACCGATTATTAGTCTTCTCCCCGGGTTGGGAAGCGTGTTTGAAAGGATCTTGTTGCATAGAATGAAGGACTATTTCAATCTGCTCCCTCCTGAATAGTTTGGATTCCGGCCTAAGTTATCCACGACAAAACAACTGCTTAGAATTACGGAATTTGCGGGCGCTACCCTGCATTCTAAATTTAAATGTTGCCCTCCTCATGCTAGACGTGGCGAAAGCTTTCGACCGCGTCTGGCATGAAGGACTAATCGCCAAGCTCATCGACCTGAATTTCCCAAGGGAATTTATACTCATGAGCCTGTCTTTTCTCTCCCACCGCACGTTTCGTGCAAGTTGTGGAGATGGTCTTTCCTCTATGCAGACAATTACTGCTGGAGTACCTCAAGGAAGTGTCACCCAATACTCTTTTTATTCTACGTATCTGAATTCCCAAATGTGGAATATCATAATAACACCTTATTAGCATGCTACGCTGACGACACTGCCCTGGCAGTGAAATCAGCAAATGTCAACCACGCAATTAAGCGACTACAATGTGTCATCCCGATGATTGAGAATTGGTGCAAAATGTAAAAAGTCTTCATAAATGCCTCTAAATCGCAACCCCATCATGTGCTACGCATCACTAGCCTGGGCAGCTGCCAAAGACTCGGATATTCAGAAATTGCAAATCATTCAAAACAAGTACTTATGCATTATCACGAATGCACACTACTTTGTCCGTAACGACCTTTTATATCATGATCTAAAATTGTATACTATAAAGGACTTCCTGCACAAGCTGAACAGGAACTTTTACGCTGAAGCACTCGATTGTGAACATTTGCAACACTTCAATTTGTTCCACTACGAAATCCTCAATGAGAATAAGTTTTTACGCTCTTATGCTGCCTATTTCATCAACAGAATGATGGGAATCACAATTTCCCAACTTAATACTCTGCGATTCATCGTTAAGTCAATGAATGTGCTGTTTACCTTTTTCAAGCATCCTCCTCCAGGGTCTGAGGTTAAAAGGGTGACCACCTCACGTGACCCACTCCGAACTACACCATCTTCAATGTCATGCTTCCACATTATACTTTTGATATTACATGTCATTTTGTTAGTAATTTTGTATGTAAAAGTTTATTTTAAATATTTCGTCTTGGACAGCCAACCCGATGCCTTGCCGCGTCACACACGTGACTATTGATCACGCCCTTTTCACGTCCTAGTGTGTCCTCCGGACCCTGGTCCAAACGATAAGAGCATCGATCAAGCCAAACGTCAATTTCGACGGAAAAAATTCGATGGCGATATTTTTAGAAGGCCTATAAAATCATCCTTTCCAGCTCTACCCTGTGCCTGAAAGACAAAAAGTTGCCATCGCCACATCTGCACTAAGAGGACAGGCCGCGCTATGGTGGAAGAATATAGGCAAATTTTTATTAGGGGAATTCGGAGGCCAGACATATACATTTGAAAATTTCAAAAAATATCGTTATTAAAGGCCTTCCCCATAGTGAAAGATCGAGCAAGGCTAGAAGCCGAACTATATAGTTTTTATCAACGGGATATAGAAGAGTTGACGGACTTTATTCTGCGAAAAATTAAGACGGATAAACATGCTGTATGGAAAAGAAACCCGACGCGGAGATTATTGAAATAATCTTACCAAGATTGTACCTGCTGTTCAAGATTACTTTCGAAATTAGAAACCCAAGCACATTGCAGGAGCTCTTCGAATTGGCGGTCAAGTTCCAAAATCGCAGAATAGCGGAAAAAAAAGCTAGAGGGGCATCGTATTCTCAAAGTACTCCGAAGGCAATCTTCAAATGAGCAGACCAGAAATGCAAACGCTCTTATGGGGGAAAGAGCTATCAAGCTAACTCATCGAAGCTCGAAGGTCAAGGCCCAAAAAGGAAATTTGAAAACAAACGTCCGCGTACCCAGAAGGCAGAAGTTGAAAGGAAAGCTTTAAACGAGTAGAGGGGCCTGTGAAAGCGAGGGTCCAGACCCCGGAAAGTTTTCGAAAAAAAACCCTCAAGAATACCTTAAATACGGTCATCGTAAAGAAACTCACAATCTACCAATTATACAAGTCCTGGTTGGCGATGTACCAGTAGAAGCCCTCATCGATACAGGAGCAGAAGGTAATTTTATGAGTGATACATTTTTCAAAGAAGATTTTTAATAGGTTACGATTATTTAAAAATAAAAAACACAGAAATTATAGCGGCGCAAGGAAAAAACCTGTCACTGCATCGGGAAATTATCATTAAACATACAGGTAAAAGAGGAAAGCCTCAAAGTATTAATTTTTGTAGTAAAAATTTGC